CACTTCTTCAGCGAGGACGTGCACACACGCACATGAGAGCAGGAGAGCGAGGATACACAGCACGTGGCGCATCATTACCATTACAATACTTCTTGCAGTAGTCTTACTTCAATCATTTACACACAAGATAACCCAATAATAAAAACAGAAACAAAGTAAATCAATGAAAAAAAACACAAGATGAAAGCACATACCAACTCAAATAACAAACAACATTTACAGCAGAAGCACACACATGCAAAAAAGGTGCAACCATAACTCATATAATGCCCAAATAAAAGGAACAACAAACACAGTACCCAATAACAAACAGATAATCCCAATGAAGCCCCCAAAAGAAAAAAAAGAAATTAAAGAGTACAACCATTGAAAGTAGACAGCACAGAAATACATCAAAAATGCCTCTTCCTGTAGGACCAAGCACAATTACAAATATACTTATGTATTCTTTATTATTTTTTCCCCGCACAAAACAATCCAACACACAACAATGCAGGAAAAAGCACACAGTGCCCAAGCAAAGAAAGCGAAAAAAAAAAAACACAAATTAAGAGCAGGACGAATCACACAAAAATAACTCACAGACCACTGAGTACGCTGGTTTCTTCAAGTAATAACGAATACAAATTGTATTAACTACTATTTGTTCCTTTGCTCTTATAAAACAGATTACCAAAAACCGTACAGGGCAAAAGCACAGAATGACCCACGCACACTAAAGCAAATAAAAAAATATTATTAATTAGCCCAATTTACACAGTAAACACACAGAAATACACCAACTATGGGTGTAAGTCTATATGTGTGCGTTTATATACGCAATTATAAATATAAATTCATCTGTTACTTTTTTCATTCCCACTGCAAAAAACAGTTCATCATCATCACAGTGCAAAGCCCAGGCACACACAATACTCCACGGCTCTAGTTTATGTATATTAAATTACTGCACACACACATCTGTGCACTAGCAAGAGATGTATACCGTCAGTGAGCAGAACAGCCCAGTTGTCTGCAAACACACACAACGGGAAAAGCAAGTAATGGAATTATTAGAAAAATAACACACACACACATAAAAGTAAAAGAAAAGAAATTCCAATTAAAAGAGAAAGCTAGTAAACAGATTATTAGTTTATTCACCCATGNATGGGTGTAAGTCTATATGTGTGCGTTTATATACGCAATTATAAATATAAATTCATCTGTTACTTTTTTCATTCCCACTGCAAAAAACAGTTCATGGAATTATTAGAAAAATAACACACACACACATAAAAGTAAAAGAAAAGAAATTCCAATTAAAAGAGAAAGCTGGTAAACAGATTATTAGTTTATTTATTCACCCATGGGGGATATAAGCAAATATGATTATGTTAGTTTTACCATTTTTATTATTTGTCCTCAGATGATTCCCACCGTTCAGTACACAGTAGCGGAGAACAACACAACCACAATCAGCAGCGGTGCTGCAGTGCGCATCCACACAGGACTGACACTGCTGTCAA